AGATACATTTCACAAAGAAAAAAAAGAAGACTAAACTTTGGAGGGTTTCCCACAAAACCACCATGAACTTTATAAATTAGAGAAAACACCCATGAAATTTGAAAATTATAGCCTCTTGGTCTTTATCTTTTTTCTTTGATATATTTCACGAAAAAAAAAATTAAATGACAAGATCTTTGGAGGGTTTCCCACAAACCCACCATGATCTACATAGATCAAGTAAAACAACCTTGAATTTTGAAAATAATGGTAAAGCCGTCCTAAGTACTACTGGAAAATCTCATAAATGATAGATTAATAAGTTTGAACTTATGACAAACCAACATTTGTAAAGATAATTTTGTGAAAAACATTCACGTGGAAGAACAAGGCAAAACGATCATGTTATGTTTCAGGCTTTTTATCCTACACTTTGACTTTGTTTATGTGATTTCGATAATTAAGATTGGCTTATAATATATAATATTACGTAGATAGATTTTCTATGATAATGAAGTTTGGGGTTCTATGCGAAAAATCCTCTATGCAAATTCCCAAACTTCAAAGAGGTTTTATGCAATAGCCCTCCAAATTCAGGGTGTTTTTCTCCTTAAGACTTTGTTGCTATTCTTTTTTTTAAAGTAAAAAACAGGGAGATGTGCCCCGTTCATTTCATTAAACAGTCCATAAGGATATATATGGTAAAATGGGAGAAGAGGAAAATATCAAAACGGTTAGAAACTAGAGATTAGGGAGATGATCTTGTCGTCACCTAATGCACAGTACTAAACATCTGATAATTCGACAAAAACCTCATATTAAAACACATCGAACTGTAAAGATAACACCGATAGTGCTTAGCACTAGCCCAAGACCATAATACCCGAGAAACCCGAAAGAAACCAAGAGAATAAATCTCTAAGTATGAAGAAGAATATGAAGAACACTTAGAGAACACTTGAAAGACTTTTAGAGAAATGTAGAGAACTTATGAAGAGGAAGACTCTTTATTTGAACTTGCTTTATTCACTTGTTCAACTTTTTCTTCTTGCTTACAAATGAGAGAGGTGGGGAGGTATTTATAGCCTCCCAAAGATATGTTACAAAGGATCTAGATTCTTCTAATATCACCTCCATAGTTCCTAGATATTTTTCTAATCTCTAGAAATTTCTACATAATATCTAAATATTTTTATCACAAATTATCTAGATGTTTCTATACTATTATCTAGATATTTAGCTTAAATATTTCTCTAGAGCACTTTAAGGAGGTGATCAACCTTCTAGAGTGTTTCTAGAAAACCTCTAGAATTTGGACCTAATTTTGGGTTTGGTCAAACTTAGAATAATTCCATCATAAACCTAAAATTAAGCTTGATCTAAAATCAAGTTTAATTTCAATACTCCCCCTTAAACTTGATTTTGTCAACCATCCCGAGCTTCGAGCGAAGTAACTCAAATTGGCCCTTTGGTAGTGAATTGGTGAAGATATCTGCAACGTTGTCGTCGCTTCGAACCTCCAAAGCTTCAATTGTTCCATAAAGCACCTTCTCCCTTTGGTAGTGACTTGTTCTATCAAGTGAGCGTACCGTAGTCATCTTTGTCACTGGACTGAAAGTTTCATCATAATCTTCTCCATATTTTTGAGAGAACCCTCGAGCAACCAACCTTGCCTTAAATCTGTCAATGCTCCCATCCGTTTTTCGCTTAATTCGGTACACCTATTTACAAGAAACGGGTTGGACATCCTTGGGTTTTGGAACCAAATCCCAAGTTTTGTTCTTCATGAGAGCATTCATCTCCTCCTTCATTGCGCCCTCCCACTCTTGAACTCCTTTTGCTTCATCATACGATGATGGCTCCTCTTCATCTAATGGAGCTGCAAAGTAGCATGAGTAAGTAGTGACAAACCTTTCATCTCTGAACCGAGCAGGCTTAACAATGTTCCTTTTTGGCCGTTGATTAGCCATGGAACTACGATCTTCTTCCTCATCTTCCTCTTGATCAGTGCTCCCCCTTTCACCTTGCGTCTCTTCTTCAAGACTTCCGCTTTCACTTGGCATTTGAACAACTGGTTCATCGATCTTGGAGGAACCCCCACCTTCTTGTTCGACCAAGACTTGAGGTGGCCCATAAAATGAGGAAACTTCATCAAAGACAACATCACGAGACACGGTGTACCTGTGTGTCTCTGGATCCATACACCTCCAGCCCTTCCTTTGTTCATCATAGCCGACAAAGATGCATTTCTTCGCCTTTGCCTCCAACTTGGTTCTTTGAGAGTCAAACACGTGGACGTAGCAGATTGATCCAAATATCCTGAGATGTTTCACCGTTGGCTTCTTCCCATGAACCATCTCATAAGGAGACTTCATATTGTTCGGACTAAGTGGCATCCGGTTGATGACATACGCTGCACATCTCATGCCTTCCGCCCATAAGGCCTTAGGCAAATTTTTGTCATGTAACCAGCTTCTACATGTCTCGCTTAGATGTCTTATCTTCCTTTCCGCTACTCCATTTTGCTGAGGTGTATACGGACATGTAAATTCTCTCTTGATATCATGTTTTTGGCAAAAAGAGAGAAACTCCTTTGACATGAACTCCCCTCCATTATCCGTCCTTAAAGTATTGATCTTCTGACCTAATTCTCCCTCCACGGTAACCTTGAATTCTTAAAACTTGGAGAATACTTCTGATTTTTTCTTCACAAAGTATACCCAAGTGTACCGTGAGAAGTCATCAACAAACAGTAGCATGTACTGAAAACCAGAATAGGAGGATGTTCTCGTCGGACCCATCAAATCACTATGGACCCTTTTCAACGTAGCGCTGCATCGTGAAGTGGAGTTGTCAAATGGAAGCCTATGTGACTTTCCATATTGACAGCCTTCACAAAGCTTTCCTTCATCATGAATCTTCAACTTTGGGAGCCCGTTAACCAAATCCTTATTCACCATAACCTTTAGCTTAGTCATATTTATATGACCAAGCCTAGCATGCCATATAAAGGCATTATCATTCGTACTCATCTTCTCAACATAAGAATTTGAGGCCGATAAAACATATAAATCCTTAACCCGTGCTCCGGTGTGAACCACGTCCGCTTTTAATTCTTTAATATTCTTTAAGAATTTAACGTCTCTTGGGCCAAATAAAACGTAGTTACCTGAGTCAACCGCATTCACCACATAGAGAAGATTCTTCCTTACTCCAGGAACATGATATACGTTCTTGAGAGTGATTGGGCTTCCATCATCTCCTTCAATAATGACTGTCCCTTCCTTCTCAATGCGGTGGATTGAATTATCTGCAGTAATGATGGCTTCTTTCCCGTCATGATGCTGAAGACTAGAAAATAACTTCTCGTCTCCGGTAATATGATGGCTACAACCAGAATCCACAATCCAATCATTTCCAAGATTTTTAGCTGTGGATGTACCTGAAGATGCAGCCTCCACCGTGAAACATTTTCCCCATTCTTTGTCTTCAGTATGACCCTTTGATTCCGCCATATTTGTTTCCTTCAGCTTGACTCGACAATCCTTTTTGAAATGCCCAAGTTTTCCACACCGATAACACTTGAATCGCTTCTTGTCTTCCATAGAAGATCCTTCTCATCCATCATTATTCTTCACATTACCATATTTGGGTTTGGCTCTGAAGCTTTGTTATCTCCCCGCTACAAAAGCGCTCCCCGAGTCATCATGGACTTTAACTCCCGCCATTTGCATGGCTAGTGATTCTTGCGAAGCTAGTAGATTTTCAAACTCCTCCAAGGAAGGTTGTGTAGCCCATCCTTGAACTGAAGTAACAAACGGTGTATATTCGGGTCGTAGACCACGAATAATAGACCGCTTCAACCGTGCTTCCGAAATCGACTCCTCCGGATTGAGAGTATTAATCTCAGAGCAAAGATTTTTTACCTTGATGAAAAACTCTGAGATTGAAGACTCTCCCTGCTTCGCATTCGCCAACTCGTTCTCTAACAGTTGTAGACGAGCCTCATTCTTCTTGTTGAACAATTGATCTAGTGCCTGCCAAATAGCACTTGCGGATGTACATCTTGAGACATGCTCAAATAGTCCTGAAGATATTGACCTCTTCAAAGCAAACTCCGCCTTGGCATTCTTCCGTGTCCACTCCTTTGTCGCTTCCGCTGTTGCAGCATCTCCCCTTGGTGGTGTTGTGCTGCTACCGTCGACAACATCTCATAAGTCCTCACTAACC